TAAGAAGCTTATCAACTGGTTCTTCTTTAACATCAGTGTAACGAGAATTCGCTAAGTTATCTGTTGATGAAGTATTAGGACAGCGATAGGAAGTAGCCATAGTGTCTGCAGTTTGTTATTGATTAAAAAAATCACAAAATAAAGTGCTTGTTGAGATTGTTATTTCATTGAGAAATAAAAAAAAATCTTTTCATTCTCTTCTTCTTCTGTGTAAGGTTGATTTGGTTTTGTAAAAAATATTATTCTCCATCGTTGCCTTCACAGTGTTTGACAAAACATACACGACAACTATCAGAAAAAGTGTTTTTTTTGTTCTTTGATTTCAGCCTTCGTAAATATGTGCCTCGAGTACACAGAAAAATATAGGACTTCACGATCAGTATTTTTATATTATTTTTATGAAAATATAGAAAACAGGGTGCAAGTGTGGATGTGGGTGAGAGTGCACCGCGTAGGAAGACAATACACTCATCCACACCCACACTCTTTCCCAGATTTCGGAAATCTATCAATAATGCTAAAATATTCTACTACAATATTTTATTGTCGATAGTGAGAAAAATGAATATAAATAGGCTCAAACATTATTAGTATATATCATTTTAGTATATTTTATTTAGCTGAATTAAAAAGTCGTTGGATTTTAGTTCGATATACGTTGAGAGTTTTACGAAGTTGTTCTTTGTAAAATTTTGATGGTAATATAAATAAAAGAAATGTAAGCATAGATGGAATGAATGCAATGAAATATTCAATAAGAAATAATCATACATGATTTGTTGAATTCATACATTTTAATAAAAGTGAAATGATTAGACGTGATACTGCAAGAATAATTAATACAACAGAAGCAGTAAATAAATGTTTATGTTGTTGAATATTTTCCTTTAATGTTGTTTTGTAATTTAGATTACTTCGAAGATTTGATTTTTGACGAGATTTTCTTATTACAAGCATAAAAGCTGCTGTTAGATTAATTATAGATGGACCGGAAAAGTGAAATATATGGATAGCAGAATCTAATTTTCGTAAATTAGATGAATAAGTAACAATACACCATGTTCGTTTATTATCTTCATTTTCTTCATCAATTAAATGTCGATGTAGAAGATCATAAATAGAGTGTGGGTGTGGTTGGTGCTTATTCAATAGAGAGTAACAGCCACATACACCCACACCCAAATATCTTGTGTGCTAGACGATCGTCCATACAATTAATATCTCTTGCTTACTCTCCCAACAACGGAAAAAGCCGTTATGGCAAATGAAAACTTTTTATACAATGATTGCCAACGGCTAACAACATCGATAGAAAGAAGAAAGCACGTTCTTTTTCGTCGTATGAGAGCACACAAGCTTCTTTAATTGTTTCTTTTGCATAATCGAAGAAAAAAGCAAGATGAAATTGGAATCGTTGTCGAATGAGCTGCTATTCAATCTTTTCGAATTTCTTGATGACACTGATATTCTGGGTGCTTTTCACGACCTCATTTCTCGTCTCGAGACACTTCTCGTCGTTCATTTTTAAACTTATCATCTTAATCTTCAATCGATCTCAAAACGTGACTTTGATCTGATTTATCAACAGTACTTATTTTTGATTTGTAATCGAATTCTTTCATTGTGGTTCGCCGATGATAGAGTAACTCCAAATCTACCACATCTACTTTTACCAAATGGACTTACTCTTCATCAATTCATTCGTCTACATTCACTTTCAATCGTTTCGGTTAATTCTCAAGATATGCTCGAGAACATGTTACAAGAATGTTTCACGTCTTCGCATCTGATCTATCTGAAAATGAGTGAATGCAATCTTCCAGTTTTCGGTGATTTTTCGTGGCTAACGAAAAATGTCTGGCGACTTCCCAAACTTATATATTTTAGTCTGCACATGCATTCGGACTATCCAATTTATCGCCTGAAACACAATGTCAACTCACCAACACTTGAGTATGTAGTATTCAATAATGTTTCAATGCCAGCTAGCGAACTATCACATATTTTGACACATACACCTCGACTTCAATACTTGCGCACTGGAATTAGCTTGAATTACGATGAACAAATGCATCGAGCACAAATGAATATTTCCTATCAATAACGACATTGAAGATCACTAGTGTTACTTCGTTACACGGGATCATAAACATTTGGAGAAACATGTCTAATTTACGCAATCTAACCATGGACCTCGCCAAAATTTTAGAGAATTATTCATGGTATGGATATGACTGGGAAAAGTTTATTGTTGCTGATCTACCCGAATTGAAAACGCTTCAATTTCGAATGATGTTTTCTTTTCGTTGGTGTCGCAATGAAGAGAAAGTCGATGAACTATTGAACACATTTTGAACACCTTTCTGGCTCGATGAACGTCGTTGGTTTGTTCGATGTGAATATAATACATCTAGCATGGATATGGTTCTGATGAATCTGAATGGTTCTCTATACACTCTACCTTATTCTTTTGAGGCATATCGTAATTTTCATAAGCAGACATTGTTCAAATCGACTTGTCCTCACGATGAAGATCACTGGTTGTATACGAATGTTCGCGAAATTGATGACCTGTACAAAGATTTCGATTGGTCATCATGTCCTATTCGTTTTCCTAATATTGAACGTCTCACAATTCCACTTCCTACAAATGAAGATATATGGCATGTCTTTCTAAAGTGAGATCATTTGACTTTCTTGAACATACAACAATTTGATGCTACTGCACTAGATCAATTACAAGTCATCATCGACCGAGCACCATGCCTCTATACTTTTTTTATCGAAAAATCACCAGCTTCTCTAGCAGTATTGTCGAAAATCACAAGCCCATCGATCTGTCGCATTGAATGGAGAAATTTTACTATGATGTCGAATGAAATATTCGATCACAACGATTGTACTACGTTCGTCACCTCATCACTTGGTCGTCAATGTGAAATTCTTAGCATTGTAGTAGAAAAGACAGCAAATATATTTTACCTTATCAATACAATGTCTTGTCTTCGCTCATTAACTTGTCAATGTCGAGAAGATAATGGATATCAACTCGTATCTATGATTCAACCATTATTTCAATTACTAGAAGTAGATTGCTTCATTGAACGACTGAAAAAGGATTTGCCATCGACATGTTCTATTCGAAGAGTTCCAACAGATTGTACTCATATCGAAATATGGATTAGTTAGCAAGGGTATGGGAATGGGTGAAGCAAAGGACTACACCCACACCCACACCCTATTTGGTAGGACCGGTAGCATAATAGGCGAAAGAGAGCAACACAGATTATTCAATGGCAGTATATTTACGCGTCATTACTGTTTTTTGTCGTTGTATAACAACTTTTGAATCTACTATACATTACAAAGTAGCATACGAAAAAGAAGACTTTGTATAACAAACTCTTCTATGGGACAAAATATAAATTTAGTGTGAAAGAAACAAAGACATTTGAGTTTATGTATTTATGGGTAATATTGCTGCCTCTGCTGTGAACGTAATTTGATTTCGTGTTCCTGACAATAGAGCACGAATATGAGGCGCATAATATGTATGCACGATACTCATGCCATTAAAAGATAATATAAATGTTAACCATGTCAAATGATTGGCCCACCATCCAACATAACCAAATATATAATACACAATAGTTGTGCTACATGCAGGTATACCAAATAAGACTATGAATATAATTAACCATAAGATACGTCTTATGACAGTGAAATCGCGATCGATTCTTTTTTTTTGCAGAAGGGTAAATGTTGATACATGACACCGTATATAACGCATTGTATATGCATAGATAACAATTGTAAGTAAAACAGGTGGAAGCCAAACAAGAGAAGCTCCACGTGCTATACCACGCCAATTTGTTAAATAAACTTGACAATGATAATCTTCATAATCATAATCACCTAGGAGTAGTATTGGTAATTGTAGAGATGCACTCAGAAACACTTGGATGAATATACCAAAAATATATAAATGAAGATTACGAAAGAGAAATGGATGCTTGTAATAAACGATTTTAAACAAACGATGAAGAGCTTGCAATGTATTTGAATACAGTGCAGAAATAAGGGCAATTGTTGATAGATAGATTTTTAAACGACACCACAATGTGTTATTATGTAATTCTGGTGCATATGGCTTGATATGACCTTTGATCATTGAAATAAACATATCAAGAGTGAAGAGAGCAAATATAAATACATTCAGATACATATCTAAACTAAGAAGAAATAGAATTCTTTCTTTTGATTTTATTAATTGATGACGAATGAAGATTAGCAAGATAAATATCGATATTTGACAAATGCTGATGATACACAGGCCAATGCCAATTGAATCCAAAATAATATTATACAAGAGTGAGTTGGTAGAAAGAAACATATTGACAGTCAAATTATCGCTTGACATGTTAAAGATTTGATAATGAATGAACTTCTTCGCTAAAAATGATATACTTATGATTGTTAATAATTATAGCCAATTTTGATACCTGTTTTTCAAAAAGAAATATAATCACATTAACAACATTCATTTCATACACATTATCTTCGATAATAATTTTTCTTCACTAATTGAAGACCTAATCCTCTTTTTTACTAATGTGACTTGGATAGTTATATATATATATATATAATTATGACAGAAAGAAAGAGAAGAAAATGATACACTTCATGTTAAAAAGAAAAAACTTCAAATTAATATGTTAAAGAAATTAAAGAGAAAGGCCATTGATATTCAAGAAAAGAATTTTCATGTTCTTTAAATCATTATACAAAAAAGAGAAGCAGAAATGAGATTTTGTTCTGTTGGATGAACTCTATAAAGATTTTATACTTATACTTGCTGACCAAAAGAATCGTTCTATTTCAACGATTAGATAATCATATGATGCAACACATTAAGTTAGTAGAAAAATTATCGACAAGATTGATTACAATAGTAATTGGTATGATAGCGATGCAGGTCTATTTTTGCTTGTCATTCACTTTTCAGATAGAGTAGGAAGATGAAACATGAGTTTGAGTTATCAAGTTTCATGTATATGCAATACTTCAAATGTCAGTTTCACTATTTAAAGAAAAAAAAACATTACACTGTCTTGATGCCTATAGCTACATATATTTAGAATGAACTTAAATATCACTCTTAAGTATCAAACTAATTATGAATGTTTGATCGATCAACTGAATGACTTATTTATGACGCATAGTGATGAACACATGAAACTTCAGTTGTTATTTTCTGTTTAGTGCGAATGTGATATCGCCATGTATGTCCTGAAAATCAGTAACATGACGGCGATAAGTCAAAGTTTTCTAGCTGATTTTAGTCATTTATTGTATCAATAATTTATATGATTCTATACATTTATACTTGATTTCATGGTTTTTAATCAGAACCTCTTATAATTAGCTTGAATTAATGAATATTGTACTATAAAAAATTGAATATCCACATTATTTTTAATACAGAAAAAATGCGACAAGCAATCTTTCATAATTAGATGAGAGTGGACGGGTGTCGGTGAAGGTGAGGGTGTGGATGTGGGTGTCGGTATGGTTCCTGTGGATGGATGTGAGATATGGATATGAGCATGGGCAAAGAGAATACTCATATCAGAATTCACTCACATTCACACCTCGCACCCCCATCTACAAAGAGAAACTACCTCTTTCGTTATCTTTAAATGACAATAAAAAGATTTCTTCTGATAATAGACAAAAAATGTTGATTGAATTTGATGTATTAAAAATTGAATACCTATTCCATGGATCATGCTAATCATCTCCTCGTTTAATTTCTTTTAAAAGATGATGCATCATTTGTTTTAGATGATATTGATTGGCTAATTTCAATATTAATGAAAAGCTTTTATTTAAAACAAAAAAACTAAACAAAACTTGTCTTTTGTTGATGATTTTTCTTTTCAATTACGATTATTATATTGTGTATCAGAAAAAAATCATGTAAATCATGTGATCGACTATCAATACGATCATTTGTTGGTAAATTATTTGTATGTCGAGAATTATTATTTGTTTGATGATAATGATTATTATTATAATGAGAATGAATGGATGAATTTGACTACATATAAGAATGATATCGATCTGTATAATTGAGTTTATCAACATGATTTGATCCAGATAAAGCACTTGTATCATAATCAACTGATGATCGTCTGAAATAATAATTATTTTTTTTACCGATCAATATTTATACGATTATCATCAACTTCTTTTTCATCAAGCGCACTACGAATTGTTAAATTAAATTTATTATCAATAAAATCTTTATCTTGTTATTTACGTTTCATTGATTGTTCACGAAGCTAAAAATAACAAAAAAATTTAAATAAATAGAAAAAGAAAATAAATAATAACAAACTGTTTTCGCTGAACGTAATTCATGTTCCCATGCTGGCTCAGTACCCGATGGCGATGATAAAGGAATACCAGACGTTAGGACTTGACCACGAATAATTGAATTAGGAAAAAATTGAGATGTCTAAAAAATAGAAAGTTTTTCTTTTGAGAATAGACGTCGGTATAATTATCCTGAATTCAAAAGAAGCAAATACCCAGGTGCAAAAATCGTACGAGGATCATATAAGATCTTATACGATCTTACTGACAATTAGATTTTGTAAGATTCAGATTGTATGATCTTACGAAATCTTGCAAATTTCTTGTTCTAAGATTTAATATGATTCTTATTATAAGATGCTAGCGTCAATCTTATATGATTCTTGATATAAGATTCTTGCAAGATCTGAGGATGGGAGTCTTGTAAGATATTGTAGGATCTTGTCAGACCATAATTTTAAGATATTTCTCATGCAAGCTAGTTTTTATAACGATAGGTTTATAGATGTAGATTACTACACGTGTTTAAGTGATGGAATGCTTCCTAATAGAAATATAATTTCTTTTTAAATTGCAAATACACGTTTTGTATACAGCAATGCTTATTATAAAAAAAGCACACTACTAATCAATCTGATTTGACTTGATTAAGTTTATTATTGTTTTGACTTTTATCTTGTTAAATTCATTTTATCGTTTATTCTTATTGAAAAAAACATTTTTTGTATTTGTTTGTAAAACTGTAATTAATAATAATTCTCTAGCGTAGAGGACACGTAAGCTGACAATGGCTAATATAGACTATATATATGAGCGAGAAACCGTTACATTCGTCTTATATTCTGGTATGGTGGAAGAAATTGCACGTCATATATTTTTTCAAAAATACAACTAGGCTTTTTATATTAATTTAGAATTCTTCAAAATTATCCAGTTTTGTTTTAGATATTTGAAATTCGTATCGATCTTATTTAGTCTTTGTGGTTTCATCGACTGAATTTCGATATTTCTGGTTTATTTTGACTCAAACTAATGATGAAAAATATTATTTTATTTTATTTTCAATCAATGTGAAAGGAGTTAGTTTCATTTGATGTATATGCTTAACTTATTTCAGTTAAGATATAATTAATCTAAGAAGATTATCTACTTATAGTCAAAGTAAAATGAAAGCAATTTAATACAACTATACTTGTTTTACAACAAAATAGGTTCATTTTCATAAGATTATTTATTTAATAGTCTGGGAAAATAAAATAAATTCAAAGTGAAGAGATTAATCTTACTTGAAATAAAGTTAAACTAATGGAATTATTGCATTTATATTTTTTTAATGCAAAATTAATATTCAATTTGATAATGTTATTTAGAATTTACATTATATGGAACTAAATTAACCTAATTTTATCATTTTATTTTATTTCGATTGAAATAAACTTAACATACTAGATTTTTTCTACAATTAAATTAAATTATTTTATCTGATCATTCCAACTAACACAAAATAAATATAATACAATTATTCATTTATGATTAAAATAAAATCAAGGAAACCTTATCCAATATAATTTGGTTAAATCCGTTTTCCAAACTACAACTCTGTAATTAATTAAGTCAATTTCAATATCGAACTCTACTCTATATACTGGTGGTCGATTATTCGAGGACGAGCTTAAAATTAACATCAAACCGAACTGTGATCTGTTTTCGATAAAACTACGCATTACTCATTGCATGTTTTCATGTGGAAATGATAAATATTTTTTTTATTTAAAAATAAATTTAGTCTGAGACGAAGTAAAATGATAAAAATTTCGCGATAAATGTTTTCTCTTGAAACAAAGAGTTTGAAGAAGGTAACTCAGCCTGTTGAAAAATCAGGTAGAGGTGATGAAAAGTGCAAGAATATCAATCATGCGATGCATCCTATAGTTGTATAGAAGCATGTATGAATAATGCAAGATCTTATCAGATCATACAATAAGATCATATAAGAATCGTACAGTACGATATGATCAGGTGTGCAGGCTTTATGACTATCTTATAAAAATCATACAAGATCGTATATGACTTTCATACGATCTTATATGATCATATAAGATTTCACAGTAAGATCTTGTAAGGTATTGCAATATCGCACAAGATCTTATTGTCGGATTCTTCGACCTGGGTAGTGTATGTTAACATCTGTCTATTTTTAAAGAATTGTACTGTGATTACCTTTCAAATTATGGACTACTAACTCACGAATTATCAGCTCATGTAAATATAGATTTTTGATGAAACGAAAAAAAGTCTTAAACTGTGACTATTTATGATCATTCGAATTTTCAGAATATCTAATTTTTGTCTAGCAAATATCACACAAAAGCTTTCTTGAGGGTGTGGGTGTGAATTAAAAGAATATCTCACTCACAATCATACCCACACACTACATACACCTACACCGACAACTAATGACATAGAGTAAACAATCACATGTCTTGTAAACTATATTAAATTTCGTTTATGTGATTTATTATATCAATGCTTTCTACGTATTAAATATGTGTCGCATGAAGGTCTTAATTATTTCGTTAGTAGTGATATATATGAGTAAATTCATATTATGATAAAATATTTCTGTAGATATGTTATTGTTTCCAATAAAAATTAATTTATTTCACTTCGTCTATGATATATAACATTCTACTAAAGTTTTGAAGATCTTCCTAGTAAATACATTCAGGGCAAGGTATCCAATTAAGTACCATAGCAGCGAAGTCAGAATATTGAAGGATGGAAGTGAGCTCAATCCAGAGGTTACTCAATCACTCTAGGTTAAAAACAATCTATTCTTGGAATTCGAAGGGCATAATCATTTTTAGTTTTGATAGAGACTCCATTTGTTAAGATACTTTTTTTTAGTCCTTCATATCAGAACACGTCAAGGTATTGATTAGACTAACTTATTGAAAAGTTTTTCATACAATACTATAGATCGTAGTAAATAAGTATCTTGAACCCCGTACATGTACCAGTGATAGAAATAAAATTTTCATATAGTTTAGAATAGTCTTTTGTTGATAACGACAGCAAATATAAATTTCAAATGTTTTCCATTCTGTTGTGTTTCTTGTCAATAAGGCTTATGCTTCAGTGAAATGAATAACAAAAAACCAATCATTTTATGTATTTTTTTTGAAGTATTGAATTAAACAGATTTTTCGATCGTATTTAACTTTTAAATAAACATGAACAAGTTAAATGAAAATCAACTTTCAGTCGATCATCTAATGCAGATACAAAGAGAGTAATTCATTTTCGTCTATATATCATTTGTTTACGATTATCTGGAATTTATAAATAGAATTAATTTAGCAATAAAACAAAGTAAAGTTCTCATTATATTATAGTTCTTTCATTACGCAATATAACTGAAGAACTCCTATCGAAAATCTGTCAAGTGAAACTTTCGAGTATCTTGCAGATTGTGATGATATATATGTACATAAAGTATTTTCTTAACTCAATATGTATTTTGAAAATCTTCTTAATTATTCATTATTTTCATTCATAATATTATTTTGTGAAAATTCATCATCAAAACAGAAAAATTTATGTAAAAATTTCATTATGCAGCATGAAAAACGTATTATGGATGTAGGATAAAATGAATCGTAAACCTAATGACACATGAACCCAAACTACACACTTTTCGAACAGATTTAGTGAGCATATAGTTGCACCTCTCTTATTACGAACGATTTCAATTGAAATAATGCTTTTATTGGATATCTCACTAATTCAACTTCATTAACATATTGTTATAAGAAATCATTTTATCAATTTTCATAGACTACTGTTATAATTTATACATTTTGTTTCTCATTATTGTGTTACGTTAAATAATAAAGAGAGCAGTGCAAACAGGAGTGTAAATGTCTTTCATTTGTCGAACCACACAAACATCCATACCCTCAGATCTGTTCGTTTTCTTGGAAAATTTCAGATTTATCAAACTTAATCATAGATTAAAAATTCGGATTGAAACTATTTCTTTGGAATTCTTCGAAAACATGTTATTCTCAAGAATAACTTGGCTACAATAATTTTTTCAAGTTTAACTTAATGTTATTGAGATCTATCCATGATCATAGCATGAGAATAAATAGTCTCCAACAATTTCATATGTTTTCTTATTAGATTTTTATTATTATCAATTCATTAACTTGAAATAGAAAAGTCTAATCAAACACGAATAACAAAGAATAACTTTAAATATTTATTTCAAACTATCGAATTCTTTATTTTGATTAACAAGAAAAAGAAAACAAGAGACAAACATCAATGAAATAATTTTAAGATTTTCTGTTATTTTGATCATATTGATAGAATTAATGAAGCTAAAAAGCAATATTAGTTTTTGTTCAATTTCTTTTTGAAATCATTAACTAATTTTTGTGCCAATGAATTCGATATTTTATGAGTCGCTCGTAAATGATGTTTTAATTTATAAAGTACAACTAAACGATGTTGACATGGTAAAATATTTACTTTTTGTCGACTATTATTTAATGTATTAACATTTCCATAAACAAAAGGACATTGAACTTTATAAAAATGATCAAGTACATCTTCATTTTCATTAAATAATTTTGTTATATGAGGATCTTGATTATTAGCAATAGCTTGTACTAAACGTTGAGCATAAAGTTTTTTTAATTGATGTTTACGAGTAAAATGGAAATATAATTCGATTCGACGAGTTGTTTCATGCTCACAAAATTTAATAGAATGATTTGCTTTAGTAAGACCATATGCTCCATCAAATGTTAATGGACATGTATTAAAAATATATCTATATGATTTTAATTTATGTTTCCCTTCTTTTTCATTTACATATTGATTCTAAAAAAACAATGAATGTTTAAATATTATGTGTAATTTTCATTGAAAAACAGAAAAGTATAACAAGATAAGAAATAATGATATTCATGTAAACTGATTTTCATATAATATTTGATTAAAAATGAAATATTATGTATTGAATATAAGACATGACTATAAGATGAAGTTTATTAATGAAAATATTTTAAACTCGAAAAATTCTCTAATTTATATGTCACAAAACTAATTTCAATAATAAAATCGTATTCTGATCGATTATCTTGAAGAGCAAATCAGATCTATTCGATTGTCAAACAATTTAGACAAATTCGAATAGATATAATATATATACGATTATAAGCTACAAGCAGAATTAAATACAACTAACCTAACTTACAGAGAATATCATTTTTTTTTGTGCAGTAATACAGAAGAAAATCTGTTGAATCACAATAGAATTCACTTCTTCGAACCAAATCTTTTCGAGACTTAATTTCGTATTTATATAATGATACTACTATTTAGAATATGTTTTTTTATTGTTTCTTTTTAACAACGTCTATTAAAAACACATAGTTTATACTGTTATATTAAATGAATAATTAGATATGATATGGCAGTATTTCATATAGTTTCAATTGAAAAAGTGATTTCATCGACTCTTTCGTTCATAGATATAATTAATTTTACCTGAATAGATTCGATTCTTTCACTGAAAGAAAGAAAAATATGCAATCGATTTCAAAACTTTTTTTTTTGATAAAAATAGAAACTTACTCCAATGAAACAGTACCATCAAAATGGTGATCGATATCCGTTGAATATTCATCATCTTAACACAATTATGTTTGTTTTTCTTTTTTGAAATTAAAGAAAATTTAATTTACCTTTTGAGATCTTCAATTCTTCTGCTTCATCTAAACATACAAAAAAAAAACTTATTTTTTGAAGTCTTCATTTATTCTGTGAGAGAACTACATGAACTGATCTCCACCATTTGAACACATATTAGGTCAATAATAAAAGCTTGTCAAGAATAGAAAAAATTCGAAGAGGATCGTGTCCATAAACCAATTGACTGAATTTTCAAGTCATCTTTCAATATTTATTCAATAGTACATAAGTCAATTTTATTTCGAAGGTCATCAAACACATGTCTATAGACATTTCCAGATCGAAAACTCTGTAAAACAGTCAAAACTTGCCTCATTAACTGCAGATACTTTTACTAAGAAATCTTTCTAGTGTCAATATGAGTTTAAATGCTGATTAATAAGTTCTGGCAGCTCTCTGATTTGACACCAGTACCTATAGTTCGATCAAAATAAATAGAATGAAATGAAAAAAGAAATATTTTAAAAAGAGATTTCATCTTACCATTTGAATTCATGTTTTCCTTATTATAATCAGAAACACGAGAACAATATTTAGTTTGTAATAATAATGGTTCGACTTTCAGCATGATTCCTTCTTTTATAAACAAAGAAAAGAAAGATATACAAAAACAAACGATTATTTAATTTAGTTTTTTACCTAAACGATTTAATGCTATTGTTTGATTAATTTTTTCGAAAATATTTTGTAATTCATCAATTGAACTACTGGATATATCAAGAAACTTTTTTGCTTGTTTAATCAAATTTTGTTCATGTTCAATAGTTAATAATTTTTCTTCAACAATTAGTTTTAGTGTATTAACAACTGTATTTAATTCATTACGAAGATTATTTAATCGTCGATTATTATTTTGTTTTGTTATTTCAGCATGTATATTCAAATGATAGAGACAAATAAGATGTAAACAACAGTGACATTTATATAATTCTTTTATTTCATTATCACATGTTATATGAGTACATTGACCTATTTCAGGCATTTCTTAAAAAATAAAGATTGTTTATACCTGTAATATTCGCTGAACTATGATCCTTATTACTATGGACAAATTGTTTAAAATAAATGACGAACTAACGAACATACACACACAGAAAAGAAAAAGAGAGAGGAAAAAAGAAAAAAAAAGAATCCAATGCATAATGTTATCGTCTTTTGTTCTATCAAATAAAATCGTTCGACTACTAGTCTGTAGATATGGATGACTCATCGTATGATTTCTCTAATGAAATTCATTGATGAAAGAGCCTCTTCAAGGATTTAAAAATACAGAATTTTAGTCTTCTCCAAGGTACTTCTCTATAGATACGAAAGTAGGATTGAAAATATACTCAAAGAGTTATAATACAATTATTCAACTATTTATGATTTTTCTTTCTAAAAAAAATTTAATTGCATTAAACTAAATAATACTTTAAAAAAAGGAAACAAATTTCGTTTCACTATACTGAATACTTATCAAACTTGTGGGATTTATTATTTCTTCTATTGATGGAAGAAACTTGACAAAAGCATAGAGAAGAGAGAAGAGCAGTGGGAAAAATGAGCTAAGAATGACTGACGAATAATACTCGAGCAATGATGTTTTTATGTGCATGCGAAAGATATAAAAAGACGATAATGATGATATCGGGAGCGAGTGATTACATCGATGAATATATGACTGGTGAATTCATCGCGATATTTGAATTCTTTTTTTGAATGATTTTTGTACATACCTATAAAAAATCAACATCTAAGAGGAAAGCGGCAATATAATGAATATATGAAATCTTGAAATGTAAGAGAATAGCAAAACTAAAACTGTAGAAAATGTTGAAAATTTTTCAATATTTCATTTTCTAAAAATTTACTTTTTTTTAAGTGAAAGAATATTTAGATCTTTTTATTCTTTTTTGAATGCAAAAGTAAAACATAATTCAAATACATGCTAATAGAATTTCGAAGTATAGATATTAAATAATGAATTCATATTTCATTTTTTGCATCTTTTCCAACCAAGACAGACAATTCTTGTGAATATTCTTCGATATTGATTTCTGAATTATCAAAACAAATTGAAAATTTTTTAAGACTATCTTACGTAAAGAGAGTCTCTCTATCCTTCTTTTGGAAGATTCTTCAAAGTGATTCGACGAAAAATGATGAAACTTTCAGAACAGATAGATCTCTATGAGCCGAGCAAAAGTCAATTGTTTCTATTATTCAGGAGAGGACAAATACCGAAAGCATTATCAGAAAACGTGTTTTTCTCAATTATGCTAACTATTGACAGGCTGGTCCAATTTCATAGGGAGAATATTATCCAGAAAGAAGAAACAAAAGAACATCTCGATCCGATCAAAGTTTTTATTTAAAAAAAAAAAACTTTGAATTAGATCAATTGAGCCGTGAAAGAGAAAACTTCAAGTTCTTCTATGAAAATTTAGTTTTAAGAAAAAGGGAAGGAGTGATTTATTTCTGACTTTCTTCTAATGAAACTGAGGTTTTTTCCGAATTTTTGACATATAAAGGCAAAAAATTTTGGGTCAGGAACGAGAAGGGGATCATCTTACAGATCGATTTCATTTGAGATCAATATTTTTCTATCTGTTTTAATTGATTATCAAAGTTGAATCAATAGTAGATAAGCATTGAAAATTCACTTTAATTTATTGATGTTAACTGATCCAAATAGATCAATCAATGTTAAAATCAAATGACGTATGTTTTTATTATTGAAAAATCAGATTAGAATATTATCATTTTGATCCATTTTTAATTTGATTTTTGTTTCTTTTTGCATCAACTATTTTGTTTTCATTCTTGACATATAATTTCCGCTTTTTTGTTTATTCAATAGCAGCGAAATGAATGAACAGCGTCATGTGTGTTAATTCACATCCATCGACGTAATGTCATTATGTGTTGTTTTTTTATGAATTGCTATCCATTGAGTGTATCGTCTTTTGATATTCATTCTCATTTTCTGTTATTAATTTATATTGTTTAAAGACTAACAATAACAGTATTAATAATCTGGTTCAGAAAATAATGATTTAAACGATTTAACTTGACCTTCGAAAGCTTTTCTGCGGAATGGTTTTAGGGCAATGTTTCAAAAATACCTGTTATTACTGTACTAAACTGGAACCATTGCCCATGTAAAAATTTTTTGGCTATAAACGCGTTTTTAAACGCATCGGAACGCGGCTAAAATGAAACATCAGATGCGTTTACGAAGTTTTCAAAACAAAAACGCATCTAAATGCGCTTCCAAAAATAAACGCATCCAAACGCATTTAAATATTACAAGAAAAAAAAAGTATTATATTGTACTCGTAGATTTGAACTACATCACCATCAGAACCACGTGATGGTCAGCTCTCTCCTAGAGGCATAGTATGTAACAAATGATATGACTTACATAAAAAATTTAATATGTGCGATGAGCGAGGCTAGAACAGAAGAACATATGTATAGAAAGCAAGTTACTTACGCTTGAGATATATCTGCTCGTTAAACTATCATTCATATAAAGACGTCTTTTTGAAATTCGAGTCTAAGTAGATAATAAGTGTCGAAATATGAGAGAATTATATTTTAAATTACAATGAAATTATTTTCAAATGCTACAAATTAATCAATATTCAATCAAATATACACAATTGTATTAGAGAGGTTTATACATTATTTTTATGCGCTATCAATCTCTATCATTCTTGTCCTTGTTCTTATTTTATGGGATGTAAAATTTTCAACTGTTGTAACAATCTCATTTTACTGATATATAACAGGGATTTATCCTTTCAAACGTCCATTTCAAGTGAAACAAAATAAAGAAAATCCAGAAAAAATCTGTGTTCCTTTCCACAAAATTCTAACAATAAGCTTATATGCTGCTGTAAATCGTTCTCATTATTAGATGCAAAAAACTCAAAGAGCTTCAGGGATTTCTAGGATATCTAACAGTTGCTCAAAAGAGTTTCCAAGAGATTGCCGGATTTCTATGCTGGTAACTCACACAATCAAGCAACTTTATTACTTAAGATATTGAGTTTTGGAAGTTTCACGATGCAAGTAAAAACGAAAATTACCAAAAATGTTCAACGTAACAATGTTCCTAATGCAACTCTCATATCCCTCATTCTGGAAGAGCTTCCAATAAGACGAGCTTTTCATACGGCAGTAGCGCCCAACTTCACACTTAAATGCAACTGAGTTTTCAAGTTACACGTCTCAAGTTGCAACTTACAAATTTCAACTTTCCACCATTTCCGGACCCGTTCTTTCCCGGCCAGCCAATTCGCGCCACCCACATCAGGTGTGATGTGATGTGTCTCCTATTGTGGCCACACCTGTCGCGGCCAGCAATTTCGCGGCACCCACGCCAGATGTGATGTGATGTGTGTCCTATTGTGGCCACTCCTTTCGCGGCACTCACACCTGGCGCGATGTGATGTGTGTCCTATTGTGGCCACTCCTTTCGCGGCACTCACACCAGGTGCAATGTGATGTGTGTCCTTTTGTGACCACTCCTTTCGCGGCACCCACACCCGGTCCGACGTACAGTGTGTCGTATTGTGGCCAGCCATTTCGCAGCGCCCACACCAGGTGGGATCTGATGTCTGTCCTATTGTGGCCACTCCTTTCGCGCGACCCACACCTGCTGCGATGTGATGTGTGTCCTAGTGTACCCACTTCTCTCCTGGCACCCACACCTGGTGCGATGTGATGTGTGTCGGATTGTGATCACTCCTTTCGCGGCACCGACACCTGGTGCGATATGATCTGTGTCGTATTGTGGCCATTCCTTTCGCGGCACCCACACCAGATGTGATGTGATGTGTGTCCTATTGTGGCCATTCCTTTCGCGGCACTCACACCTGCTGCGATGTGATGTGTGTCCTATTTTGGCCACTCGTGTCGCGGCACACACACCTGGTGCGATGTGATGTGTGTCCTATTGTGCCCAGTTATTTCGCCGGACCCACACCAGGTGTGATGTGATATCTGTCCTATTGTGGCCACACCTGGTGCGATGTCATGTGTGTCGTAGCGTGGCCACTCCTTTCGCAGCACCCACACCTGCTACGATGTGATGTGTGTCCTATTGTGGTCAGTCATTTCGCATCACCCACACCTGGTGCGGTGTGATGTGTCTCCTATTGTGGCCACTCCTGTCACGGCACCCACATCTGATGCGATGTGATGTGTGTCGTATTGTCGGTAGTCATTTCGCGGCACCCACATCTGATGCGATGTGATGTGTGTCGTATTGTCGGTAGTCATTTCGCGGCACCCACACCTGGCGCGATGTGATGTGTGACATATTGTGGCCAGTTATTTCGCGGGACCCACACCAGGTGTGATGTGAT